GTAGAGAGGCCACAAATTTTTTTATTTTTTAATTTAATGAGATGGGGGTGATGTGAGGGTGTGGATGATGGGATGAATTATTAGTAATATATTTATTTAATACATATTAAATAATTAATTATAATTTGAATTTCGAAACATGAAACTTAATTATAATTTGAATTTCGAAACATGAAACTTAAAATATGATTTAAGAAATGTAATTTTTAAAATAGGCCTGTATGTAATTTCCACTTTATCTATTTTCAATGGCCGAAACATTATGTTATCCAATAAACCAAGCCCAATTCTTACTTGGTAGATTTACATAACTGGACTATAAATAGAGGATTAACACCATCGTCGCCACCTACCACCATTGTGTCCAAATCTCCACACTCATCTTCAGATCCACACTACAATTGGGATCTGAAAGAATTTGCAGCATTCTTTAACATAAATTACGAGCTAAGGTTCTTACTTGAAAAAAGAATTTTAGGATCTTTTCATGTGGTTGAATCACCTTACTTTCCAAGCACCAAAATCTTCTTTTTCTTGCACTTTAATAATTACAATCTCAATTACAATGGAAGGAGCTTATTATTTAAACCTAAATGTCTAATTTTCTGGGTTTCTATTCCAAAAATGAGGTTCTAATTACTTTTCTAATTATATGTGATTGTCCATTCGAATTTCATATAATAACGTGCCATCTTTTCTCTCTTCCAATTGCTTGAAAAAATTTGGAGGTAGCAGGGAAGTTATGGGGAGTTATAGGTTTGATGCCATGTTTGATTCATATTCTTTCAAAAAAATATATTGTTAAACAGTAATTTGATATCATTACAACCACATATTTTCAATAAAATAATATTACACGCAAATTCAAAAAAATTTCTTATTTTTTAACACATTTTTCATCAATAAACTACCAAAATGCATTCTCATGAAAATAATGTTGCTCAAACAAGGGCTGAATTTCAAGTTCAAAACACACTGACTACAACATTTTTAATATCTTGTGGGTCGGGTCATCTCACATGAACGATCCATGATCTGTATTTTCCAACAACATCAAATCTGTACATCCTTCAGTAAATATAGACCACCACTAACCGCTTATATCAGCTGCTACTGTGGTGACCATCCTTTGAATTTAGATTTATAGCTAATTTAATAAGATACACCAATTTTTTATTTATTTATTTTTTTAATATGCAATTGATGGTACTAGATTATATTTATTATTCTAAAACACATTTATTGAAAGTTATGTAACTTTAAAATTTTTGATCTTTTTATATTATTTGTATAAATAAAACTTTCAACTCGTACTATTAGGGCCCATTTGATTTTAAAGATGGAATTGAATTGCCTCGAAAACGAATTTTAGGGAATTGAATTGCCTAAAATTGTTTTCCTTGTAATTGTAATTTATTGTGTTTGATTGACATAATTTTTTAAGTGAAAAATATTGAAATAAATGTATTTTTTATGTTCGTTTGATTTTGTTTTACATGAAAATTGTCAATTAAAGGGATATATTTTACTGATATTGGGGATTAAATTTGTTTCCATTGCTAACACAAAATAAAAAAATAAAAAAATTCAAGAAAATCATCTATATTTTGGTGTTCGTTTGATTTTGTTTTACATGAAAATTGTCATTTAAAGGGAAATATTTTTTTTACAATAATTCTTAGAATTTGTTTTCATTGCCAAAACAAAAAAAAAAAGGAAAAAAAAAGTGCTACAGTAGGTAAGAATTAGTTTTCCCTAAAAACCAAGAAAATTTCAAACTTCAAGATAACCAAGAATTCGAATTCCATGGAAAAAAAAATTTGTATCAAACACCTAAAGTTGGAAAATTCAATTCCAATTCCACCTTTCAATTCCAGTTTCATCCTATCAAACACACCCTTAGTATTTTGTAAAGCACGGAAGCTATATAAAAAGTCATTGCAACTTTGTATCAAGAAGTCATAAAACTTCATTCGGAAAAAAACTTGTCAACCTTATATAGACTTAGTGCTTGTTTGTGCCCCCATTATTTGTGGTTAATGTATTATGGAATAGTGATTGATATTGAATTGTGTTGTTAAAAAAGAATGAGAAGTTTTGATTTATGTGTAATATCATTTTAATAAAGAATGTGTGGTAGAAAATGAGTACTGTAGAAAAAAATATGGTAGAATGTGAAAAAATAATAGACAAACAAAGCCTTACTATCTTAGTTGAAATCTTCAGCTTAGATGATTTAATAGTCTCGATGTATGGATGACATGCTCAAATACCTCATAAAGTCCATATATTTTACCCCATTTCTAAATTTTTGAAAGCTTAGCACTTATCATATGCTGCCATTATCCCTGGACATTAACTTATTTCTTCACAATCTCAAGGTTATTATAGTACTTTTCGTAAATTAAGCTCTTATAAATTTCTCATAAGAAAATAAGGAATTCAACCTTTTATATTAAATCCATTAAAACCTAAAAACATTTCATAAAAAATTATTGTTCTTTCTCAATTATTTTTCATTTTCCACTTTTTTACATTTGGCAAGTATTTATTCATGACGATATACTAATGACTCCAATACCTTATATTTAAAGTTCAAGGCGAAGAATTGTTTTCCTTGTATAGTACGCTGTCAGTGCGCAGCACCTTCATGGTTGTCTTTTATTTTATTTTATTTTTATTTTGCCAACAAGCAGTGAGAAATAGACAAGTGTCCATCTGTACAAACCCTATTAAAATCTTGAGTCATGCTATTTGAACAAATTAGGCCGACAAACTTGGTCTACAAAGCAACATCTGGATCAATTATTTTAAAAACAGTTTTTGAAATTAATGAAAATCAATGGCCTAAAGCTTGTCAACATTTACTTTATAAACAAACTTTGTACAATTAGATTAATTCTAAAATCTCCCTGTACACGTAGCATCTCTCTGATGAATGTCCTCTTGCCTAGTAGCGTGAGCCTCTTGTTAACTCAAAAGTCACCAAGTACGAATAAAATAGAAAGTTTTAATCTCAAGTCTCACGAAAGGAAATCTTCTTTCCTAACGCTAAAACTTAGGTTGATCATGATTTGGTCAAGAGTGTCCCTACCTTACCTAATACAACGATCCAAGGACAGCATGTGAATAGGAAGGAGAGACTGGCCAAACTGCACATGCATTTTGTCACAAACACAAAAATATGTAAATTTTAAAAGGTTGAATCCCAACTTTGAGGATCCCCCACCACCTCGTCTCTGGAGCATCGTGAGGGAGGTAAATCGCGGGATGTACCCCAACAAATCAGGAAACAAGAGTTTGCCTGTACACTGGTGCCCACAAAGAGCCCAATTCCATATCTTAGGAATCAAACTTTCATACTGCGGTAGCCAGCAAGGTTGAAACTATTTCACTCCTGTCATTTGCGGTAGCCAGTAAGGCTAAAATTATCTCACTCCTGTCATTTGCAACACTGAGCTATGCTCCGGGGGTAAAAAAAAAAATGTAAATTCTAACTCAGACCAGACCAGACCAAACATCAAACATATGTATTTGTATACCACATAACTTCAATTTGTGGCTGTTGCATATTTTCCCTCATGTTCTAGCTTTTCTTTATAAGCCTGTCAATGGCAAACTTTGAACTTTATGTTTATTTTCATCAACTTAATGATGTTTTAAACCAAGAGTTTGCACTAATTAATATTATAGAGTTGGTGTTTTTCTTATATTTTAGATTATAGTGTAGAAGCTTTCAACTTGAGCTCATTATTGACGATGAGCATGCAATGATAAACAACCACTTCATTTATTCAGTTGGTGGGGACAATGATTGGAAACCAAATGCAGGTCTCGTAATAGAATAAAGAAATTTCAAGGACAAGAAAAAATCTTGTTAAGAACAAACTTTGATACCTTAGATGTTACACTTTTATATTTTTATTGAAATAATCAAAACTTTTATTAACAAATTCTTACTTGTGGCGAAGGAATACCGTAGTTACATAAAATAAATTTCACCATCAAGATCATAACAAACCAAACTCCTTGTAATCTGAAATAGCATTGGAAGATTTAAAGTCAAAATGGGAGGAGAAAAACCATGAAAATTGGGAATACCCAATTTCTCCATACGCATAGCTTCTCTAACTGATGATGGGATTGTGATAGAGTCCATCCAAATTTGTGAATCACAAGACGCTCCCAGTTTCGACAAGATATCAGCTACCGAATTGCCCTCGCGATATATATGTTGAACTCTACATGAGATTAGATGTTACATTGCTTTCTTTTACATTTTACTGAGTGCTGTCACCTTTTACTATGTTTGTCATAACACAAAACTCAATGTTTTTCTCAAGGTAAAAACTCGGAAGGTCACTAAGTTTTTGACTATATTTCATTTATGGAATATGTTACTTGTTTATAATACGGTGTCCATAATAGTGTCTACTCCCTCACATGAAAGGAGCCCACTGTTATGGACATCTTGATGTACATATAGCATAACCCTTCATTTATATGCATGAAAAACTTTGCAATTAATTGGAATTACAAGTGGGAATTTGACAGATTGGCATTTTCTATCAGAAAAAAAACAATACTTCGGAAACTAAGAGGTGGTATCTATAACCAAAAGGACAAAAGCTTGCCTAAAGCATCCATTTAACATCAATAACCACGAAAAGAAGCAAAAGCAGGTACTATAAACATAAATTTTACAGCAAGAAAGTATTAACTAGCAACAAATGTTTTCTTCACATTAACACGCCAGAACAAAAAAAAATTCTGTCAACATTTCCAATCCAACAACAGAATTCTAATTATATAAAAAAACAACATAAATGGAAAATGACTCCCCAAATAAGTTTAATATAAATAAAAGAAAAAGAATATGTGAATGAACAAAAGAGACACTGATGTATTCAGAATTCTCACTCAGAGTGCTTGGTCTTGAACCTGTAAAGAAGCTTCTTCTTTTTAGAAGTTTGGTTATCAAATGTCAGCACAACGTTCCCGACTTCGCCAATTTCGAAGCTGCAGCTAATTACTTGTTCATCGGCCGGTCCAATCTTCCTGGACTTTTGCACGATCTTAGTGTACCCACCCTCGGTGCTGGGAATAAACTCTGCTCCATAGGACACATCCCAGCCTAGTACTCTTACTTCCCACTCCAATGTGCAAGCCTGTATATCCAACATTCAATGAATCATCGTACCAGTGAAAATAAAATGAATTCTTCTCCATTGTAGTGTGTTCAGTATTGCATAGAGTACCCACCTCGGTGATTGGCCATTCAACGATGTGCTTAGAAGTTGGCTTAATAGTTTCCTCAGTGGCAGGATCAGCAGTGGTGAATTCTGTTTCACCCTCTTTACTAAGGCCACCATATTGAACTGGTACTTGCTCGGGTGCTATGTATCTAACATTTTACAGCTCATTTGCAAATTAACCAAAAGAAATATCAATCAAATAAATGAAAATTAAAGAATCTTACTCACTTGAAGAGGGTCTCAGAAGTCTTGGCTGGGCTTGCAAACACAAACTTGCTCTTGGTTCGTTGGGTCAAGAACGGACTGATCATCCTATTGTAGGCCACATACCACCACGGAACATTGATGAACACCTTCGCATATTGTAGCCAACCCGATCAGCAATAAACTAAACCACTTATAAATGACTTTTAAGGTACGAATAAGGATATGTACCTGTTTGGCTACAAATTCGGGATAATTGTCCTGGAGCAATTGCAGGGCCTGATTGGTGGCTTGGCGAAGTTCCGTCTTGAATAAGAAGAGTCCAGGTGAACTCTTGAGATCAGTGATTTGAACAATAGTGCATGTACCATCAGGACTGAAATCAAGTTTCCTTATATTCTTTTCGAGAAACTGAATATACCATCTCAAAAATTTGGATCTCTTCACTGCATCCGACAAAGTTTTGTTGTACAATTCCTTGTCCTGGAACTCTCCAAAAGCATTGTAACAAACAGGGTGTCCTTCTTTATCCACTCCATGAATGTAGGCTACCCTTTCGAGCCCCTCACAGATACCTTCCTCTTCTAGTAATTCATTGATTTTGAACTTCTTTCTCCAGGCTACAACACTTTTGAGCATGGCCAAGGCTTCTTTTACTTTGAAGTCTCTAGCTCTCAAGAACTTGAGGAGAATTACGTCGCTTTTTTCATCGGCTAAGAGTGGATATCCCCAGAGTTCGATCTCCTCTGGTGGCTAGATGTGGCTGAATCTATTTATAATTATTTAAGGGAGGTACCTATGCCTACCTTACCTCGAGAGATTGATTATGAGGCCTTCTACGCAGAGCTAATTAAGTGGTGAGAGCTAGCCCTACTTGAGATCCCCGAGGACGATAGTGTACCTACTGAGATGCACATTCGTGAACATGCACCTCCACCTATTTCAGATGATGATGTTTAGTTTTCTAAGAAACCTAGGATTCATGGAGGTTGGATTATTGATTATGATAGCAATGATGAATAAGTGAATTTTAGTAGTTTTTATCAGGTTTAATTGTTGTTGGTATTTAGTAGGATTTTTTTTATGATGCTGTGGAATAGCACCAGAAGCTCTTTTACTAATTTTTTTTTTTTTTTTTTTTTTCTCCTGATGTAGTAGTGACGGTAAAATAACGTTGTATCTACGAACAATAGACAGCTGATATATAAATTTTTGGCTTTGTATCTTGTAATACCTGGTATGTATTATTCTACATAAAGAAAAATCATTATCTTCAGTCTTGTAATTCCAAAAATAAATATGGAAGGTGCAATCAACTGATGCAATAGGAGATGATTTAGTCATTTAACACAATAATTATGGAACTTTGATTTGTGACATTCATGGTAATCCATAATTTTCACAATTCTATCGTGTTTTATTTATGTTGTGTGTATTGAAATTATGGATTTTACAATCTACAATTTCTATGCTTTATCTAATAAAGTATAAGATTCTATAGCTGTCTAGTGGTTATTGTTACAGATTGATTTAATACTTTTGGGGCCAATTTGTACATACAACTCCACACTTGAAGAGCTTACTTTTTAGACTAAAAAATGGTAAGTGTTGGTAATTGAAATGAGACCTCTTGCATCGTGATTGATTGGATCGATGCAACCATAACGGGTGGGCAATCGAGGAGTTAGTTTTACAATGTTTTGGAGATTCAATTTGTTGACAATTATTTGTCATGCTGGAAATACCATTGCTCTGATTCTCCAGTATAAAGGCAGTTAATCGAAATCTTTCCATGGATTGACCACATTATTGTTCGGTCGCATAGCGGCCAAAGCTATTAGGAGAGAGGCAATTCCATCGCTATGGATGTGCATTCGTTTTTGTTCAAATTTCTATCTAGACACTTATCTCAGTATTTATTCTGGTTATAGTCAATAACTTCTGGTTGGACGATGTACTATATTTGAACACCCACATCCTTGTCGAAAACTTTTCCCTTAATAATGACCATAATTATTGTGGTAAATCCTCCTTGTCATACTCAACTTTTAGTGGATATGAGGCACTATGAAATATGAAGTCAAGTCTAAGTTCCTTAATGGTTCACTAGGAAAACTCCCATCTTTGATAATTAAGTAGCAACTCACGTTGCCTCTAATATGATTTTTCCTGAGCGAACCCTTAAAGACGCTTGGCATTTTTCCCTGTCTTGACGAGTAGAAGTCATGATCGCAGAGTGCCCATAGCCATTAGGAAAGAGGCAATCGAGTCACTATGTACTTGTATTCATTTTTATTGAAATTGTTGTGCTAGGCACTTATCTTGGATATTTATGACATTTATAGTCTTTTGATTGGACGATGTATTATTTTCTTATACCCACATCCCTACAGAAAACTTTTCCCAAATGATAAAATTTATATTTTGGTTGCAAAGTGGACATAACCATTAGGAAAAAGAAATTTAATCCCTACTCATGTGTATTCATTTTTATTAAAATTGCAATGCTCGACACTTATCTCAAGTATTTATAATAAATAGTCAAAGCCTTTTGATTGGATAACACACTATTTTTGCACACCACATTTTTTCCCTTTAATAATGATCATAATTATTGTTTGGTTGCAAAGTAGCGATAGCCGTTAGGAAATAAGCAATTCAGTAGCTATGTATGTAGATTCATTTTTATTGAAATTGTTATAGTGAACACTTATCTCGAACATTTATTACAGTTATAGCCAACGTCTTTTGATTGGACGATGCATCATTAACTTACACCCACATCCTCATCAAAAACATTTCCCGACCATAATTATTTTTGGTCGTATAGTGGCCATAGCCGTTAGTAAAGAGGTAATTTGATCTATATGTGCGTTTATTTATTTTTATTCAAATTGCTATGATTCGCACTTTTTTCAAATAGTTATAATGCTTATAATCAACGCCTGATTGAAGGACACTGTTTTTGTGCAGCCACATTCCTGAAAAACTTTTCACAAGTAACGACCATAATTTTTGTAGGGTTGCAAAGGGGCCATATCTGTTAGTGAAGAGGCAATTCGGTCCTGTGCACGTGTACTCACATCCTTGCAAAAACTTTTGCCAAATAGTGACATAAATTTTTTTTTTTTTTTTTTTGATATCCAGTTATTTCAACTTATACTAGACTAAATTTTGGACCCCAAGACCCTTGCCCCTAGAACTTTGGGGGGTAAATCGCGAGCTATGCCTCAACTGAATCACAGGTTCCCCCACCGTCTGTACACTTCTACGCACAAGATATCCTCCTCCAAAGTGATTGCTCCATACCAAATTTTTGGCCGCAGGTTCCCACCAGGATTCGAACCTCCATCCTACTGCTGGAAGCAAGACTAATGTTGATTAATTCACCAGTGGAATTGTGCCCTGGAGGGCAATAGTAACATAATTTTTGTTTTGTCCTAAAGTTGCCATAGCCATTAGGAAAGAGACAATTTGGTCGCTATGCACGTTTATTCATCTTTAATCAAATTGTTATGCTGGATACTTATCTCAAAATATTTATGATGGTTATAATCAACGCCTTCTGATTTGACGACGAACTATTTTTGCACACCCACATCGCTGCAGGAACTATTCCCAAATAACGACCATAAGTATTGTTCAGTTGCAAAGGGGCCATAGCCGTTAGTGAAGAGGCAATTCGGTCCCTATGCTAGTGTATTCATTTCTATTCAAATGATTATGCTGGACATTTATCTCAAATATTTATGATCGCTATAGTCAATGCCTTCCGATTGGACGATGCGCTATTTTTGCACATTCACATCCTTGTAGAAACTTTTCCTAAATAATGACCATAATTATTGTTTGGCCGTAAAGCAGCCATAGCCATCAGTAAAGAGGCTATTCGATCGCTATGCACTTACCTCAAATATTTATGATGATTATAATCAACGTCGACACACTATTTTTGCACACCAACATTCCTAAAAGAATGACCATAGTTATTGTTTGTTGAGACCTGCTACACTTACAGGGGTCTGTACAGACCCCGGCCAGATTACTCACAGTGTGGGTACCGGTGTTTTTTTTTTTTTTTTTTTTAAAATGTAGGACCCCTACAGAAAGTTGTTGGTAAGAGTCTGTAGGAAATTGCTTTGTACACAGCAATTTTTTTGTTTGTTTTGCATGGTGGCAATAGCTGTTATGAAAGAGGCAATTCTGTCCTTATGCACGTATATTCATTTTTATTCAAATTGCTATGTTGAACACTTTTTCTCAAATACACACGCGCACACAATCCTGAAGGAACTTTCCCAATTAATGACCTTAATTAATTTATTATTATTATTATTATTTCTTATGATAGACGAACCAGCAGTCACTACTCTTCGAGTGAGCATTGTGTAAATTCTCGAGCTAACGTAATAGCCTGCAAATCACGCCAACTAGGTAAATCACATTAAGCAAATCTTGTGCGACAAGCTTGACTGAGAAAGTGTTAGTAGGGAGAATCGAACTCGTGACGCGCTCACCTATTCCACCAATCTGGCCACCCCATGAGGGGCAATAATGACCGTAATTATTGGTTGGTCACAAAGTGGCCATAGTTGTTAGGGAAGATGCAGTTTGGTTGCTATGCACGTGTATTCATTTTTTCTCAAATTGCTATGTTGCACACTTATGTAAAATATTTATGATGGTTATAGTTAACGCCTTTTGATCGGATGACTACTATTTTTGAAACCTACATCCTTGTCGGAAAACTTTCCTCAAATGACCATATTTGTTGTTTTCCGATATCATGATCATTGTTGTTAGGAAAGAGGCAATTTTGTCGTTATGCACATATAATCATTTTTATCAAAACTGCTGTGGTGAACACTTCTCTCGAATACTTATGATGGTTGTAGTCAATGCCTTTTGATTGGATGATGTATTATTTTCGTATACTCACATCCCTACTCTAAACTTCTCCCCAATTAATGACCATAATTTTGTTTTGGTTGCAGAGTGGCCGTAGCTATTAGGAAAGAGGCAATTTGGTCCCTATGCATGTGTTCATTTTTATTCAAATTGCTATTCTAGACACTTATTTCAAATGTTTATGATGGTTATAGTCAACTCCTAGACGACGTACTATTTTTGCAAACCCACATCTTGCGAAAAATTTTCCAAAACAATGACCATAACTATTGTTTGGTCGCAAAATGGCCAAGGCGTTAGGAAAGAGGTAATTCGGTCACTATGCACGTAATCCATTTTTATTCAAATTGCTATTTTGGACACTTATCTCAAATATTTATAATAGTTACAGTCAATGCTTTCTGATTGAATGATGTACTATTTATTTACACCTAAATCTATACGGAAACTTCCCCGAATGATGACATTATAATTGTTTATCCTCATTGTGGCCATATCCGTTAAAAAAAGGTCGAACCCCAACTTTGAGGGCCCCTATCGCCCCGTCCTTGGAGCATCGTGAGGGAAGTAAATTGCGGGATATGCCCCAACAGACCAGGGAACAAGAGTTTGTTCGTACACTAATACTCACAAAGAGTTCAATTCTATATCTCAGGAATCGAACCCTCACACTACGGCTGTCAGTAAGATTGAAATTACCTCACTCTTGTTGTTTTGCTGGACACCTATCTCAGACATTATAATTATTATAGTCAATGTCTTTTGATTGAATGATGTATTATTATCGTATAACCACGTCCTACTGGAAACTCTTCCAAATTAATGACCATAATTACCAAAAAAAAAAATGGAAAAAAGAAAAGAAAAAGGAAGATAAGAGTTAAAGATTGATGATTTATTAAGATTGCACGCAAGTTTATTTGGTGTTCATTATGTTGTCATTGCTTGTCCCTATCACTAAGAAAATTATGAATTATAATAGTCAGCACATGTAAAAGAATTCTCATCATCATACAAACAAATGCGGGACACGTGCAATCTTATTAAGTCAATATATTCTTACAACTATGCGTTTTGTGATTAATTATATATCATAAATTATCTTTCAATTGAAATTTTGGCTTTGAATGAACAAATTCTATTATTATGGTGTATTCTTCTTATCATATATACAATTAAGGATAAGATTAGATTAGCATGTCAATTTCAACATTGACAAACAAATTCTAAGATATTTACTAAAACTCTATGATCGAAAGCGAAACTTTTCGAAATTTTTAAATTTTGTAATTACAACTATGATATAATTTAAGTTAATAGTATTGTAAGTAATAAAACAATAATTTTATCATGTAATTAATCCTTATTTGTAACAATTGATGTTACGCGATTCACAGGCATTAATATTTTACTGCACAATATAACATCAATTGGAAATCAATTATCTTAGTTTGCTCTCCAATGCATAAATATTTTTCTTGAAAATTCATGGAATGCCTTGATCAGCAATCAAAGTCACTTGTGGATTTAAAAACTGAATGAAATAAATAAATCATAGTTAGTAGTGAGTTGATTATCGTTGACAAACTTCAAAAAAATTCTTATCTAATCAATCAACTTAAGCATATAATTATGTGCATCTAATAACGAATAATCCTAATAAATTATCGTTATAATAAGCACTAACGTCTCATATCTAGATTCTTAATCAATACCGCTGGAAGTTAATGGTGATAATTATGGAGCCCTTAAGCATATTTGTCTAATTTAGCTGTCATATTAGGTTATGATTAGATTCCCCTGATGAACAATAACACTTATTATTCTTTGAGGATATGTATTCAATTGTACGATAATGCTTATTGGCAGAGAGAACCATGGAATGATGAATGAAACATGCGATCATCCTTTCAAATTGAATATTGGGACACGATCACTTTTTTAGATTCTGTTAATTCTTTAAAATATCACAGAATTAGATATCAAATTAAGACTTGTTGAGTCGAGAATTGGGATCAAGAAATGAAGAAAAAATTCAAAATTTTATTGTATAGATTGATATGAAATTTGACATTGAAAGTTTGATGTGTTTAACAAGAATCAATTAAAGCAAGTAAAGAATCAAGGTGGCCCCCTGGGGGATAGTCTAAGGGTGTAAAGGGTAGGAGTAAGGTTATTTCGCGTCTTACTGGCAACCGCAGTGTGGGGATTCAATTCAAAGATGAAATTGGATTCCTTGTATGCGCAGTGTATAGGCAACTCTTATTTCTTGGCCTGTTAGGACATATCCCGCAATTTACCTCCCTCACAAAGCACTAGAAGCGGGACGGTGAGGACCCTCAAAATTGGGGTTCAACCTTTTTTTAAGTAAAGAATCAAGGTGAAGTGTTTTATAAGCAAAAATGAAGCAATGATTTGATTAGTACAATGTTAACGAGGACCATGAATGTTTCCCATTCCCATTTGGACCCTAAACTGCTGGCCTTTATTAATTAGCTGTCACGATTCATGACCCTATCCTACGCTACCCTACCCTACCCTACCCTACCCTACCCTACCCTACCCTATCCTACCTAATGCTTTTCTTTAATTAGCAAAGAAATTAATCTGGTACCAAATTTTGCTTTACATTTAGAAACAATGTCTCCATCATTAATCATGTGCTTTTCCATACCACACGATGTTATCCAGAGTGTGTTTAGAAGTGATTTTTTTCTCAAAAAATTGATATTTTGAACGTTATTTCACTATTTTAACTGTCATATTTGACTTCTTCTCTCATTAGTGACCCCACTTTTCTCCCAACAGTAAAAAAATCAATTCTCTAAAAAATTACTTCCAAACAAACTCCAAATATTGGACAAGGTACAGTAAAGATGAGCCCAACCAACATTTCTTAATTTGGTTTTTGTTTGATTCAATAGGGATCGATTTTTCTCTTACAAATGGTGTGAGCTTGAGGAGCGTTGGATGAGGTTGCGGGGGGTGGATTGGAGAAGATTTATTTGTTCATTTCAAAAGATTTAGGACTCTTGCTGTAACTTTTCTTTTACTATTTCTATTGAGTTGCCCTTTTTTTATTCATTTAAAAAGGATAGATTTGTCAGTTTACAGACAAGTTTTGTTGCCTTATTTGAAAAGTTGAGAATTTCCGGTGCCAAAAAAAGGTTGAGTAGATAAGTAATATTTCGAAAAGGTTCGAGATGAAAAGTGCCAAAAGTTTTACTTAATTCATCGTTTTTCAGTACCTCTAACATGCCTTTGCAAGATGACTCATTTGAAAATGTCAATCTTAAATTATAAATATTGATTCTTAATCGAATGGAATTGTTCTTTTGTCATTAATGGACTAAGATAGAATATTTATAAGAAAATGAGTTCATTTTAAAAGGTTAAATTTATTAAGAGGATAACTCAAATCATTATATATTGTGTATTTATTTAGTTGTCGTTAAATGTGCTATTTAACCTTAATAGATCAGACTGCTAGTCTTGGATCACAGCCCCAAATGAAATTGTAACAATTTAACTTTTAAACTAAACAAAGTCACTCTTGTCATGCAATAACCCTTTTCACGAGTAATTCTGCTTCATGTTTGTTTATTCGGATAACTAAATAACTATGCACTAATTTTGTGGTGAAGTCAGTAATTTACCATCAAAATTTCAAGGTAAAGAAAAGGAATATATTGCTTGCCATAATCCTTCATGATTACTACTAAATCCTTCCATTTGTTGGACTGCAATTGTAGTGAATTGCAATCCATCCAAACCAGAGATTTACAAGTCAGAATCTCAATGAACAGCCATTCTGTGGCAGCAAAAACTCAAGGCATAAGCTCAACAATGGATCAAACCAGACGGTGACATTATAAAGACCGAAGTGTTTTTTGATAGGCAGGCAACCATGCCCGTCTTCTTTATGATAGTACTCGTTCATCTATCGTACCGTAATCTCTTCTCGACATTGGTTCGTCATCATTTCTCCATGAACTTTTAGCGTTATCTACCTTATCCAAATCATTCTTGTGCTTCATTACATTCTCCTTGTGTTTCTCAACAAATCTTCTGTCTGAATGTTTTGCATTCGAATCATTTCTTTCATAGGATATTTTCTCGCCTGTATCACTGAATTTTGCTCAGGAATTATGTGAATCTTTCTCAGTAAGTCTGGAACGCTAGACTGATCAAGTCTTCCATCCCTTACTGCCGAACCACCCTCGAATTTGTCTTGAGCCCATCTTGATAGTCTATCTTCTTCAGCTCCCCAGCCTGTATTTGTGGCTCTCTGGATTTAAAATCAAAGGCAGCAGAGTCAAGAGTTAATAACACAGCCTCGCGTGCAACAACATAAGATGACAATAGCTGTTAGACACGAAAATAAATGGTCTCCATCACAACGTATAAATAAAATTGGAAAGGCAAATCGAAGTACTAAATAACCAAATTAAGCTACAAAAACTAACACAAAAAGAAAGCGCGTGATAAGAAGTTTAGACATTTTCAATTGTAGTCATATTATAAAGGAAAAGTTACCGAATTTTGGCACCTTCCTGAACTACCATCCTAGGTCGACAATAGATGACAGTTAATGTTAAGATTTTGTAAAGTGTACAGTTGTAAAAATCCTATAATTTAAGGATAATCCCTTAAATTAACGATTATTATTTTCCTTATTTTTGGTATAATTAGTTTCCTAATTTACTATGTTTACTCTATAAATTGTAATCTTCAGTTTATCAATAAATGAAGAAGTTGAAATATTATTCACAATATGGTATCAGAGCCGCCTGTTATTTAACCATGGAAATAAATTCAAGCTGCATATTGAAACATTGAAAAGGTAAAAAAAATAAAATAAAGGGAGAGAGAATTCTCCATGGATCCGCCAAAGCTTCTGCAAACGTGAACAAATTGGAGACCATACCAATTTAAATACTGCCATTCATCTCTTGCTGGCACGTGAAGTTGTCCAGTTAATTCATTTCCTATATTGAGGAGGTTGTTTTTTTTTTTCCACGTTATCGTCCGGTCCCTGCTATTGTTCAAAAATGGGTGAAAGGAATATTGGATTGTCGACTACAGGTCAATATGAAGCCGTTTTCAATGCAGGTATAATTTTAACCGAATCAAATTATGATGTTTGGTCACAATTTATAGAGATGCATATTGCCAAAAGGGAGAAACTGTCCTATATTCGTGGTAAGAAGAAAATTTCCGCAGAAATAGATGATGGATATGAAAAATGGTATGCTGAAAAATCAAAAAGTGAAGAGGTGGTTGTTGATGTCTATGACTCCAGACATTATGAAGTGTTAAGTACGTTTACCCAATGCCCATGAAATTTGGAGTGCTCTGTCAAAGGCGTTTTATGATGGAAGTGAAGAGTTGCAGATTTTCACTTTAAATCAAAAGGCCTTCGTCGCCAAACAAAGTGGAAAACCTCTATCTGAATACTATGGAGAGCTTACCGAAGTGTTCAAAGAATTGGATCATCGTGATAAAGTAGTAATGAAGGATCCCGAAGACGTTGCAGCATACCGAAAGTCCATTGAACTACTTAGGATGCACATATTTCTTGCAGGATTGGATGGTGATTTTGAACAAGTTCGTGGAGAGATTCTACGCAAAGAGCCAATTCCAGATTCAGAAGAATGCTACCCTTTAGTTCGCAAAGAAGCAGTTCGCCAGGCAACTTTAGGAGACACTAGAAATTCAGATGCTTCCACCATGGTGGCACGGAACCGATCAACTTCAAATTGGCAGGATCGAACTATTGCTAACCATCCTAAGACCACGACTGGTGCCAACAAGTCCACCTACAAATGCACCCATTGTAATCAAACTGGACATACCAAAATTCGATGTTTCGAACTTGTAGGATATCCAAAATGATGGGATCATAGTCGTGCTCCAAGGAAGACAAATTCAAAGAAGACATCCATTGCAGCAGTTGCAGAAGCAAAGCCACAAGATAATATCGCTGAAAAGGCTTCAGCATTGGTCATTGCTGCAAATAATGGTGGTAAGGTTTTAAATATTTCTACACCTATTTCTAATAGTGCATGGATAATTGATTCTGGTGCTACAGATCACATGACATTTGATTCTAAACAGGTCTCCACCCTTAATCCTCCCTACAAAAATTTGTCTTTACTGTTAATGGTACGTCAACCCCAGTTACTGGGGAAGGATCTTTGATCCTCACTAATAATTTGAGTTTAGATTCTGTTTTAGTTATCCCATCCTTAAACTATAATCTTTTATCGGTTTCACAAATAACTGCAGCTTTATCTTGTGTTGTAATTTTTTGGCCTGAATTTTGTGTGTTTAAGGACATCCAAACAAAGCAGACGATTGGTTATGGTATTAAAAAGGGAAAACTGTATTACTTGGATTTGGTGCCAAGGAATTTAGATGGGTTACACCAAGCTTTGACAATAGATTGCTCTGAGGGGAAGAAGAAGAAATATGAGATTTGGCTATGACATCGACGTCTAGGGCATGCTTCCTTTGGATATTTGAAAAAATTATTTCCTAGTTTATTTGCAAAATTTGATATTTCTAGTTTTCAGTGTGATGTTTGTGAACTAGCAAAGAGCCATCGAACTACTTTTCCATTATGCTTGAAAAGTCTACTTTCTTTTATGGTTATACATTTTGATGTCTGGGGTCCACCTAAAGTTGCTACTTTGGGTGGATCACATTGATTTATTACTTTTATTGATGATTACACAAGGATGACTTGGCTGTATTTGATGACATCCAAAGGAGAAGTGAACTCTTTATTTCAGAATTTTCATGAAATGGTTAAAACACAGTACAATGCACAGATTCGAGTTCTCCGCAGTGATAATGGTGGGGAATATTAGAGTTTCAAACTTCAGCAGTATTTGGAAGCACATGGGATTATTCACCAAACTACTTGTTCCGACTCACCCCAACAGAACGGTGTTGCAGAATGTAAAAATCGACATTTATTAGAAGTAATTCGTGCATCATTAATAGAAGCCCATATGCCATCATCCTATTGGGGAGAAGCACTTAGCTCAGCAGCATATTTAATCAATTGGATACCCTCCAGCTCTACTAACTGTCAGACATCGCTCCAAACTCTTAATGATGCAGTTTTTCCTCAAGCTATCCCTAATTTACCACCTCATGTCTTTGGTCGTGTTACATTTGTACACATCCATAAACATCAACATCACAAGTTGGCTCCTCGAGCTCTGCGATGTGTTTTTGTAGGCTATGCTACCAATAAAAAGGTGCATAGATGTTATCACCCTCCAACTCGGCGAATGTTTATCTCTATGGATGTTGTTTTTCATGAAGAGACAATGTATTTTTCTTCCGAGCTTAAATTTCAAGGGGAGGAACAGAGAGAAATTCAGACTCTAAATCTCCAAGACTAAATTATCAAACTTTCGATGACAGCCAATTCCCGAATTTCGATGATCAAAATATGGGCAACTTGGATGGAGGTGATATAACTTTGGATTATAGTGGCGATGAACGTCAAGAGACTGAAGATGTAGCTTCTTCTCAAACTCCGTCTTTGTCTGAATTCGAGCCCTTCGTAGCTGATATACCTAACCAATCGCCTGCTGAGGATGTTCAAAATTTAATGTCCGAGCCACTCAAAAAATAGTTAACTGAGCTTCACACGAGAGGTATTCCTAAACCTACATATGAACCCAATCTTTCTAGTAAAGTTAAGTATCCTATTAGTCAGTACGTGTCTAACCATCGGCTGTTAGAATCAAATTTGTTATTTGTAAATCAATTTTCTACTGTATCTATTCCTAACAGTGTGCATGAAGCCTTAACCAATCCAAGGTGGAGAATAGCTTTGAACGAGGAAATGAAATCTTTACAAAAAAAATGAAACATGGGGACTTGTTGATCTTCCATCAGGAAAGAAACCAGTTGGATGTCGATGGATCTTCAGCGTAAAGTATAATGCTGATGGCACAGTTGAACGATTTAAAGCAAGACTGGTGGCAAAAGTTACACTCAGACCTATGGGATTGATTACACTGAGATATTTGCACCCATAGCCAAAATCAACACAGTTCAAGTATTATTATCTTTGGCTGCAAACATGGATTGGCCATTACTACAGTTTGACGTAAAGAACGCTTTTTTGTACGGTGAATTATCTAAAGAAGTCTACATGGATCTCCCACTTGGGTGTGTAATACCAGTCGGAAGGTGTGCAGGTTGAAGAAATCATTATATGGGTTGAAGCAATCCCTGAGAGCATGGTTTGGAAGATTTACTAAGTCTATGATAGTCTTTGGCTATCATCAAAGCAATTCAGACCACACTCTATTTTTGAAAAAGCAACATGGTAAAATTACTGCACTTATTGTATATGTGGATGACATGATAGTTACAGGGAATGATCCTAAAGAGATTAAGGCTCTACAAAATTACTTGTCTACAGAATTCGAAATGAAAGATCTAGGTCAGTTGAAATATTTTCTTGGAATAGAAGTGTCTTGATCTAATAAAGGGATATTTCTATCCTAAAGAAAGTATGCCTTAGATCTATTACAAGAAACTGGTATGTTGGCATGTCAACTGGCGGATACACTAGTAGAAGAATGTCTAAAGTTGTGCATAGAGTCCAACCAAATACCAACTGATAAGGTCAGATATCAAAGATTTGCAAGAAGATTGATGTACATATCACACACAAGACCAGATCTAGCCTATGCATTAATTATTGTCAGTCAATTTATGCATAATCCTGGAGCACAACATATGAATGCAGTAATGCGAATTTTGAGATATTTGAAGGGTGGTCCGGGAAAAGGAATTTTGTTTACGAAAAACACAGACTATCAAAACATAGATGTATACACTGATGTTGATTGGGCTAGAGCTATAGATGATAGACGATCTACTTCTGGTTACTTTACCTTTTTAGGTGGTAACCTTGTTACACGGAGAAGCAAGAAACAGAGTGTTGTTGCCCATTCAAGTGCAGAAGCTAAATTTAGAAGTATGGCCCTTGGACTTTGTGAAGCCTTGTGGTTAAAACTTCTCTTGCAAGATTTGGGTTATCAATCTACACAACCAATTTGACTATACTGTGATAATAAAGCAGCACATGATATTGCCCATAACTCAGTTCAACATGATCGCACGAAGCATGTCGAGATAGACAGATTTTTCATTAAGGAAAAATTGGAGGAAAAAATTGTTGAATTACCTAAGATTCGATCTACAGACCAATTGGCTGACATTCTTACCAAAGCAACATCAAATCGAGTTTTTTCAAATTTCTTAGACAAGTTGGGCATGTGCAATATCTATGCACCAACTTGAGGAGGAGCGTTAAGATTTTGTAGAATGTACAGTTGTAAAAATCCTATAATTTAAGGATAATCCCTTAAATTAAGGATTATTATTTTCCTTATTTTTGGTATAATTAGTTTCCTAATTTACTAGGTTTACTCTCTAAATTGTAATCTTCAGTTTATCAATAAATGAAGAAATTGAAATGCCATTCACAATAGTTAAAGCCTGTCGGAATCCTCAGTAAAATAAGCAGTTTATAAGGATATAGAAAATAGTCGTTATGAAACATCTCAACACCTTTCTCAAACTAAAGCAAATTCTAGCAAATGCAAGTGACTGCATGGTTTGTGATCGTGGACATACAACATAAACAACAGGCAGCTTCTTCTTGTAGCTGTCAGTTCAGTTCAAAAAAAATAATAATAAATCATTCACAATAGTTAAAGCCTATAGGAATCCTCAGTAAAATAAGTAGTTTATAAGGATATAGAAAATAGTCGTTATGAAACATCTCAACACCTTTCTCAAACTAAAGCAAATTCTAGCAAATGCAAGTGACTGCATGGTTTGTGATCATGGACATACAACATAAACAACAGGATCAGCTTCTTCTTGTAGCAGTTACTTCAGTTAAAAAAAAAAAAAAAAAGAACTCTTTTTTGATTTTGTAACTTAGATAATACATGCACAAGGGTGTATGTTCAAGAACGGGTACTTATATATAGAAATATTATGTTGAAGACAAAGCGCTCTCTCAATAGGACTTAAGCTGTTAGATGAAGTAGTTCAATATTTAAGAGTGATATTAGAGCAAGCAAAGGGGTCCTAAGTTCAATTCTCCATGTCGTCCATTTATGAAAATTGCGCAAGTCATGATACTAGAGGCAAAAAATGCCTACATGTATGAGAACATATTCAAGACAAATGTAAATAAATAAATTTATACACTCTCTAGCAGTATAAGCTTTAAGAAAATGTAGTTCACTTGATAACTACAATTTCTTCATTAGGTGAATTTTCTCCAAGTATCTCCACATCTATTTTCTTAAAACCGCTTTGCTAAAGAAAACTAGATTAATTGCTCCCATCGCTACCACTGCTAGCATATTTACCATACACCTTCTTTTGCATTTCCAAATACCTTCCAACATGAAGTTTCATCGCAACTGTTCATGTTCCTCTTCAATAGTAAGACTAATGCTGAACAAAGACGCAAACCATATCACGAGGTTAGAAAGGGTTCTCTAAATTTAATTCATCTTCCCTTCTCTCGATAAGTAAATCTTATTTCACATTGCCAATTATTTGTCAGTCACTCAAAATGCATGTTTTGGTAGTGAAAGAACTAGGAAACAACATGCTCAAGGAAGAAGAGTTGAGGAGACAACTCTAATTATTTACCCAGAATTTGAGCTCCATTTAGATTATCTATACATTCAACCGATACAGTGTAATGGATTGAGGTTAAGCACTCCTACACGGTCAAATTCAATGGAAAAAGAAAAGTGATTCAAGGCGCAGAGTCTTACCTACGGCTAGATATGTATTTGGATACTCATTAGCAAGGAAGAAAATCTTTAGATTTACCCGTGCCTTTTCATCTAACTAAATTTAACAAGGGGACAGATTTAGATTATGAAAATTGACCATAGATGGAAACTTCTCACAAGAAATTTTTGGAAGCACGCAGTTTTTATCTCTTCTTTTTTACTTTGGTAATTCATAGGAAATTTTGTGATGATCATATGTTTCACCATCGTAATTATGCTGATATAGTTCCCATAATTCTCTCTTCTAAGGCAAAACAGAAGAACAAAGTTGTCGCAAGCATTCTCGAGATTGCTATATTTAAGCACAAGACATTATTAATCTAAATGCAGACGAGATCTACAAAAATGCATATAATTACCACCAACAAATCAATCTAATCCTGTAGCATCATCAAAGAGACAAATCAATCAATCAATCTTTACAAAAACAAAAATTATACCAATAAATTCGTGATTTAAAATTCACCTCAAACAAGTTGGGTGCAGTTAAGTGTCTTAAATGGGATGAACCGAGGAAGAGCAAGCACTTGGCTTTAGAAGCTTGACTTTTTCACTTCGCAATTTGTGGGAAATCTGCAACAGCTCCAATTTTTATGGAGCTCTGGAGCCTGGAAGAAGAGGGCTGCCGGCTGGGGACGGGGAGAGTCTAATTGGCCCGTCCAGTATGGGCTCGCTGTTGGGTCAGTCCATGCTTAGATGGGTTGGGTTGTTCTTTAGAACTGGATACCTTCTCCATTTGCTGCCAACTTAAGCTTCAATACAAAACCCAAATGCAGCGTTCAGAGTCACCACTAATAATTAAACAGAGAGAGAAGCCGGGGTACTTTTAAGTATAGCTTTGTCAAACCAACCATTATCCATTTTAACCATAAAAATCTAACATTCACCACAATAGCCATTTCTTGTGTAAAAGATTAAAACGCCCTTAAATGAGTTATATAATTACAAAAATAGAAATATGGTAAAAAGACAAAAATATCCTTCAATTACAAATAAAAATCCAAACAAGGCTCAATTGAAATTTGAAAACGAAGTCAGTCTTTTCATCAGTTTACTCTAACACGATAAAAACTCTTCCATTTTTCATCCACTTCAACCTCAAAATTTCATAAACTTAACAGTTATCAACCTCAACAGAAAAATTTAGTTAAATTTCAGCACTTCAATTCGGTAAGTATCTTTTCGTAGTATTTAATTTTATTTTTATTGAAATCGTATATTTTTTTTAAATGGTAGAAAAAATAATATTAGAGTCAAAGTTCAGGCCGGCACCGATCAGACGTCGGAACGACGGATTTAACGACGGTTCGAACAGTCCGTTGCGGGCGGTCCGGACCGTCCGCAACGAACTGTCCGGACCGTCCGGATCGCCCGTTGCCGACTGTCCGGATTCCGTTTGCAGACTCCCCCGCCCCTCGATTCTGATAATTTTTTTCTGATAATTTATTCTGATATTTTTAATTCGTAATGCAGATATGGCAAAAGCGTGTGTCCCAATATGTTATTTCGGCGAATTTCAAAGGAAAGAAAATGGTTAATAAATAAATAATTGGAAAGAGGCCCACAGTCGCTCTCTGGGAGCCATAAACCCAGAGCAACTATAAACTTGCAGATACGCTTCCTGTATTCGAGTCCTTACACCTCCCGAAATCCTCAGTAGATCGGAGCAAAAACGTTTGTAATCAAATCACAATCGAGTCATTAATTCTATCGAGATCTAGGAAAGAAGAATTTTTGCATTTTTCGTTTTTCAATTACACTCTTGTGAATTATTCTTTCAGATCTAACGGTGTTGTTTCACTGAGAAGCGATGAGGATGAACTCCGTCGTCCGATCCTTATGCTTCTTCTTCATTATCCTTTTGTTCCTCGTCTCTTTTACACTTGGCAAGGTAAGTAATTTCCCTCTCTGATTTTATTGATATATTTGTTGATTACTTGTGGATCTTGTGTGTAATCTGTCATCCTGCTTGCAAAAATTTTTGCTTTCATTAATGTATGTTTTTTTCTTTGTTGAATTTGATTATTGATGGTTATTGGTTCTCATCAATTGCTGATGTAAATGCGAAGGAAAGATGTTTTGATTTCTAACTACTGTGAAGTAATAGAAAAATAAAACCTTTTCACATTAGGTGCATGTGGATTTTTTGAACATTTTGAACAGGAAAAGGTTAAAATAATTTGAAAGCTAGAAAAGGAATGGCCATAGGCTATTAGGGAGGAACTTTTTTGTTGTCAAAATGTAAAATTTATTTATGACAATCAAAAGGTGCCCTCAAATTACATTGTTTCAAACCTTCACGCGTCACTTGTGTATGTGCAGTTAGTATTTTATCTGAAGCTTCCACACGTGTATGCAACCTGTCGTTTCTTTCGTGTCCTATTTCTTCAATTTTTGAGTAATTTTTCCTTTCGTATTGATCTGAGGATCAAGACACAGTTTTACATTGCCCACATTAATGAAATTTTCGCTCTGTGACTGTGAACAATCAAAACTTGACTGTCTAATGTAGTTTATCTTGTACTGCCTTTTCTACTGTCAATACATTTTTCATTTTCTGTGCAGTATCAACCTGATGATCCCATCACGCTATGGGTAAACAAGGTTGGTCCGTATAACAACCCCCAAGAGACCTACAACTACTACAGCCTTCCATTTTGTCACCCACCTGGAAATGCTGCTCACAAGTGGGGAGGCCTTGGCGAGGTTCTCGGAGGAAATGAACTTATTGATAGCCTAATTGATATAAAGTTTAAGAGTAATATGTGATAATGCTATCAATTAATTATATAGTTTCCATCAGAACTTCATCCCTTACATCTGGCAATTTGTGATGGCAGGAGATGTGGAATCGACGACAATTTGTGAACTTGAACTGGATGCTGCTAAGGTTAAACAATTTAAGGATGCAATCGACAATTCATACTGGTTTGAATTTTTTATGGGTACATTCTTCACGAACTTTGTTATTATAGATTATACATTGTTGACTGATGATATTCATATTCTGGATCAGTTCTTACTTCTTAGAATAGCTCGTTACATTTATTCTACTGTTGCTCCTGTCTTACTGTGTTCTTTCTGTGTATATTATCAGATGATTTGCCACTATGGGGTATGTTCTTCTACTCGTAGATCTTTTGTCTTGTTGGATTACACTCAACTAAGGATTTAACTGCTCATCCTTTGTTTAAAGGTTTTGTTGGTGAGGTGCTTCCTGATGGAAATCGTGATACAAAGCATGTGCTTTTGACCCATAAAAATCTTGTCATTGAGTACAATAAGAACCAGGTACGTTTTGTATGTATCAATTATTTCTGGAAATTATGCCTTGGCATCTTAAGTCGTTTTTAACTGAAATCCTCTTGCAGATTATTCATGTCAATCTAACTCAGGAAAACCCTAAGTCAATTGAAGAGGGGAGAGTGTTGCACATGACTTATTCTGTCAAATGGACTCCTACTAACATTACTTATGCACATCGTTTTGATGTTTATCTGGACTATCCCTTTTTTGAGCACCAGGTACATACCAGCAAATTTTACCATTTTTCCACAGATTTATGCTTTTACATGCCAATTGATCTTATGCTAGGGAGACTAATAAGAAACTTCCAAATTTCATTCCATATGTTGGGTCATTTTTTCTCTAAAGATGCCGATAAAGGGGGAAAAGATAGATAATAAAAAATAAAAAAGAAATAAATTGGAGAATATAAGATCTTAATCCGCAACCTATAGTTGCGAAAATCCAGGTTATTATTATTTCTCCAAGTCAGCTCAATGATTTCCTTCTTTTTCTTTTCTTTTCTTTTTTTTTTTTTACAGATTCACTGGTTCTCAGTTTTTAATTCTTTCATGATGGTGATCTTCCTTACCGGTTTGGTTTCCATGATATTAATGCGCACCCTCCGGAATGACTATGCTAAATATGCCCGGGAAGATGATGATCTGGAGACAATGGTAATGTTTTTTGAACTGTATATGTCTTTCGATATATAATATTCATGAGACTTTGTTTATGTCGAAATATGTCCTGCTACTTGATTCTTCATATGCTTGTACTACCAAGTGCATTAATCATTAAATCTCTTAAAGTGGCGTGGAAAGGAACATAACATCTTTTAAAGCATGCTCACTTCAGAACTTCTGTTTAGGAACGGGATGTGAATGAAGAATCTGGTTGGAAACTTGTCCATGGCGATGTGTTTCGGCCTCCTGTAAATCTCTCTCTACTTTCAGCTGTTGTTGGCACTGGCGCTCAGCTTGCAACTCTTGTTCTGCTCGTCATCATTTTAGCAATTGTTGGAATGCTGTATATAGGGTATGCCTGAAGCTCTCTGTACGTAATGTGACATGTCTATGATGCACGACGCTCCCATTAGAGCGGCATGTCTGTTCCAACGCTCATTGAACACTCAAGGATATGTATCCTACAAGTCACGTGCCCTTGTTCAATTTATTCTATATGTCTTTAAAATTACCGGCACTTGAGGGATACTTTAGAAACACCCCTTGGGCAAGTGTCTTGGCCATGTCCCGTATCCTATAACATATGAATTCAAAATTTTGCTGAATTTAAATGGGCGTGTCTCTAACGTGTCCTTGTCCTACTTTTTTTTAAAATTATGTGTTGGCATGTCAGTATTGTGTCGTGTCCGTGTCCATGCAACTTAGGTTAGTAGGCTGTAAGATGTACCAAACACCTTTCATATACTTGGAAGCCTTCTTCCGTACTCTTCTAATCAAGGCTTTTGCAGTTAGCCCTAATTCTGTCCTGACAAAAGCTCTTTAAACAAGTGAAGTGAAAGCTGGATGTTTTGATTGTATGCACTGTGCACCTTTACACACTTAGTACTGGGCTTATGAAATATGTTTGGGTTAACTAAGCTTTTGCTTTGCTTCGTTTTTCATAAAGCCAAAATAACCAATGACCAAAGAAACGAAAAACATATGTCAAAGAAGAACAAGCTTGATTTCTATTTATTTCATTCAGTAAGAAACTTTTTCTTGCCTTCAGGAGTAGTTTATACTATGACATCTGTGTTTTCATTGGGTGTGGCTATCTATTGAATTGATCTACGGAAGCACTGCCCCAATGTTATGAAAACTAATTTGAAGATTATTTCCAAAAAAATGCTACCAAAATTTAAAAATTTAATTTTTATGATATCATAAAAGAAATTTAAAAGGAATATTTAATGGTAAGATGGCCAACTTTGTAGCACGAACACTTCAATTAGAATAACGTGTCCGTGTCGGACACGTGTTGATACTGACACTCTTGGACACTATATCATAAATATATTTCATTTTTTATTAAAAATATTATATATTTTTAACTAAAGGTAATTAAAATAACAAGTAGGTATCATATTTAAAAGATTTAAACAAAAAAAATCAATAACAAGTATAAAATTAAATTTATACTATATAAGTGAAGAATTTTAAATAATTTAATCAACGTGTTAGCGATGTGTCGTGTTGGTATTTTGTTGAAAAATTGCGTGTCAACATCTCAGCTGCTTTAACTTCATGGTTTTGGTGTTGTGTAACTCAGGAGAGGAGCAATTGTCACAACCTTTATCGTATGTTATGCTCTTACGTCATTCATTGCCGGTTATGTTAGTGGTGGCATGTATTCGCGCAATGGGGGTATGTTTCTTTCTTCAACTCG